CAGAATGCGCCGAGAGGGTAAAGCCGTCACGTGCCGGTTCAGTGAGGTCCATTGATCGGTGTCCGATGTAGCCTCGGCCCTTTTCACCAGAATGCACCGAGAGGTAAAGCCGTCACGTGCCGGTTCAGCGAGGCCGTCCTTCAGCATCTTCTCCAGCTGTCTGTTGAGCTTGCGTCCCCGGTATTAGGCACATAGGTACGGTTTGCTGTACAGGCTTCGGCGTCAGGTTTCAATTTTTATATCTTTATTAATTTATCAATTTTATGGTAGGGGGCAATTTCGATGCGTTCCAGATCGAATTCATAGCTGACAAACGTCCCCTCCCCCCTTTCGCAGAGGAGAGTCGCAATCGGACCACGCAATTTTCCTTCCAATTAACGCAGATCAAAATTATCCAAAAGGCTTGTCGGCAGTTTTCCACAATCACATTATTCACGGCAATATTCCACATCTCCACAATAATTGTGACCCATCGTTCGCGGCGATCACCTCTCGCACTTCAATGGTTGCCACCTGTCCCTCGTACAGTGTGCTTTGTCCCAGCACATAGCCCTGAAGGAGAGCCACTTCCTTGTCGGTGGGGTTGGACAGTATCCCCTGCATCCGGCCTTGCTCATTGGTGTGGACCAGCGAGCCTCGCACCTCATCAACGGATGGGGGGTATCCTCCGGCGCCATTGGAGGGAATTCCACCAGTCGGCGGCCTACCCTCCCCTGGGCATCCGTGACGTCACGTCACAAACCGTGACGTCACATGCGTGTCGCGCTGGCACACGCACTGGGTTGTGGAGATAACCCCTCCCGAGAGCCGTCGTAAAGCCGACTGGAGGACGAAAAGAGCGCGCAAGTACCCGCAATAAGCACGTGATTTTCCCCCATATTCAGTGCCATTTGCGATTCTCGTATGAAGTCAATTCCCAGCAGAACATCATTCAGCAATCCGCAATCACATGTATGTCTTGGATTGTGGCACACGCCCCGGCGCCACGGGCACGGATAACAGACTCAGGCTGCGAAGCGTGACGTGGCGGGTGACGGAGGGTGACGTGCTAAGCTCCCCGTGACGTAGCGAAGCTGAACGCCCTCTTGGGATTGTAAGTCCGAGAGCCCCGGTATATTACGCCAGGATTCAACCGAAATCAAGGTCACGGTTACGTCGGAATCCACCAGTGCAGCCAGCCTTTCCCTCCGATCTCCACCGGGATTCGGGGTAGCTCGTTCTGCCCTCGCACTATGTTCTTCACGCATGTCGCGGTGTTCAGGTAAGCCCTGTCCGTGTGCTAGCTTACCATCCGGCCGGACGCCTCACCGAATGGCACCGTTTGTTTAAAAACGGCCTGCTCCGCGGCCCGGCGCCGGCCGACTGTGGTTGCGGTCATCCGCGGCACCGCTCCCGCTGGCCGATCTCGCGGGTTATAGGGGCCGGCCGACTGTGGTGCAGTCATCCGCGGCACCGCTCCTGCTGGCCGGGCTCGCGGGTTATAGGGGCCGGCCGTGGTGCGATCATCCGCGGCACCGCTCCCGCTGGCCGAGCTCGTGGGTTATAGGGGTCGGCCGACCGGTGATGCGGTCATCCGCGGCTCCGCTCCCCCTGGCCGAGCTCGTGGGTCATAGGGGGCCGGCCGTGGTGCGATCATCCGCGGCACCGCTCCCCCTGGCCGAGCTCGCGGGTTATGGGGGCCGGCCGACTGTGGTGCGGTCATCCGCGGCACCGCTCCCGCCGGCCGAGCTCGCGGGTTATGGGGGCCGGCCACGACTGTGGTGCGATCATCCGCCGGCAACCGCTCCCGCTGGCCGAGCTCGCGGGTTATGGGGGTCGGCCGACCGTGGTGCGGTCATCCGCGGCACCGCTCCCGCTGGCCGAGCTCGCGGGTTATGGGGGCCGGCCGCTCCCTCCCACGCTCTCGGCGTCAGGCAGCGGCCAGGCCTACCGCCTGCGCAGGCGATCCTCGCGCCCGCCCCCCCGCCCTCCCCCCGCTTCGAGGCACGGGAAAGCGCTGACTACCCACCTCGGGATAATCGCCGCGACTGCCGCGACAGCCGGGTCACGCACGTTGGAAGTGCGGACCCCCAGTTAAAACTACCCTTTCCTTCACGGGGAACGGATGTCCGTGACATCGCGTGAGCCGGCGACTGGAGCATGGAGTACTGAGGCAACCAAGGCTGGTAGGCCACCGCGTTCACTGCCGTGTGGTAGATTGGTGGGCGTGTTGGATAAGTGGCCATTTCACCAACACCCTCTGTCTGCCTGACGCATGCCTATGCTGGCTCGGTAGTTTCGGCATGTGAGCGGAAATGGCCTCTTTTGGCTCCCGTATTTCCTCGCCCACGTTGGAAGTGGCCCCCCGTCCACAGACTGGCTCCCTGCGACAGCCACTTTAGACGCTCGCCTTGCAGACGAGCTCTCTGCATGCATGAAAGCCATTTTCATGTTCATTTTCAATTGCAAGCCAGTTCCAACACTGCCACATCAAAATGAGTATTCCCTTCAGACGTACTCCGCTCGTCTAAATTGGGTTTTAACCCACGCCGGAAAATGCTGATAAATGAGGGTGGATTCCATTCGACGCGTTTCTGGGTTTTGAGGCTGTATTAGTTCAGGCCAGGTTTTGTGTGCGAGGGTAGACACGCGATGCTCAAAGGTGCTGACCTCCCTGCTGGCAACCCGTCAGCTGCAGCAAGTCTGCCAGCGGGTCCAATGGCTTCTTAAACTTGTCCCTCACTTCCTTTTTAAATTCCGACCAGAACCTCGGCCCCCAGACGGGGAGCACTTACATCGGTTTGGTGCGACGCCAGAAAAGCTCAGTACAATCCGTTGGCCTAGTCCCGCAGGTGCATGGACATTACTCGCGTCACACCCTCCCAGTTCAAATGTCCAAGCATGGCAACACTTTTGACCGCCTCTGAGAAATCCACAACGAATACAGCGCCTACCTTAGCCAGTTCAAACGGAGGTATCTCCCGTGGCGCCCCCAAATTATTGGACGGCGCGCCGCGAGCATGCCGCAATGTGATCGTATCGTACAATGGCTGCTCCATGAACGAGTTGGTTCGATCAGGGTCAATCATGATTTAAACTGGTTTTAAAGAAACTCCTTCCCAGCCACACTAACGATTTCAGAATTGTTTTGATCATCCTTTTTACGGGCGACTCCGAAATTGCTGTCTTCCTCCTGGGATCTTCTGCGCTGAAACCAGCCAATAAACACTTTCTTTTCTCACTTCCTCGGGTACTCACCCACGATGGGGCAAACTGCTTGACGAGCAGCTCGCACCTCCGGCAAGCGCGAATTTTAAACTCTTTCTTGACACGTTTGCACACCAGCCCGCGACACCACCGCTGTCACTCAGCACGCGCACCACCTCAGATCACACGCGAGCTCACTCCCGTCGTTCACTCTCCGGCAGGGAGCAGACGCGATAGGGATCTCTGTTCCGCCTCCTTTCTACGCTGCTCTGCCGCTTGATCTTTGGATCAAACTGTTCTCCAGTTCTGGATAGGATTAATGTGGCCGCAAAACTCCGTCTCTCCCACTACAGTAGCTGCTCCGCGCGTGTAAGCCAAACGCAAAGGAACAGTAGACTTCGCCAGGACTCATACCAAATTAAGATGAAAATCAGAAGGTACTCGGAGGACAAAAACGCAGCCGGATCAAGCACCTTCGGGCAGGAGGCCGTTGCGGACCTATCCAAGTTCATGTACTGGGGTGCCCCAACGGGCACACAGGGGCCGGAGGTTAACTTAGATTTCGGGCTTCAATCGTCCGCCGAATCTTGGAAGAGCCGGACCCCGGGGTCAAGTGGCTCGTGCGATAGGCACTGGACACTCCAGAGGGTTCGGGTTCCCAGCCGATGCACCATTTTTATGTAAAGATCTCGCGTGGTCGGGCTGCGGTTCGCGCCAGCCATCACCGCGAGGCACCAAAGTACACCAGCGGGCTCAGTCAACGCATCGCGGTTCAGTGCAACGTACACTTGTTCCGCTTGCCACGGTATGGCTGTGCGGGCCCGGGACGAGTTCGTTTAGCGTTCGCCGCAGAGCGACTCCGGCACAGCGCACCTGGGTCTCAAACTTGACCCGTTACTCTCCAGTTTTAAAACAGTCACTCGCTTTTAAAAACGCCCCCATAATGAATCAAGATCAATTACAAATTTTATACGAGTCAGTTTTCTGCGGGCAGTCATCAACAAACATGGCAAGGAATCGTCCCCCCCCCCCCCCCCCCCGTGACGTGAGGGCCGCAGACCCCCGCCTTCTTTGGCATGTCCTCAAGAACCTACTCCAGGGTGGCCACGGTGAGGAATACCCCGAGCGGCCGAGCTCTACGGCTTACATACGGTTTATGCCAGAATGGTCCAGGCCTTTCTATTGCGCAAGTGCACCACCTCTGACCTTGAAGGATGACCTTGAGAGGGCAGCACTTTTTGACGGACTCTAATTCTTTCTGTGGTGAATACTCTGACAATTGCAAGTTTAAAAACCGGCGGGTGGTTTTGGGGTGATGTGGTGTTTCCCGTCCTTTGAGCACGTGTTTGACCTTGAAGGGTCACTTTAAGAGGCCGGGACACTTTGACGGACGCTATGCTCTCTTGCTTGCGAATGTTTGATGTTTGCAGTTTTCAAATCGGCCGATAATTTTTGGTGGTACGGAGCTCCTCGTCCTTTGAACCCGCGTTTCACCTAGAAGGGTGGCCTTGAGAGGTCCGGATTTTTTGACGGACGGTGGTTCTTGTGCTTGTGAATATCTTTATGCTTGCAGTTGTCAAATGGGCCGGGAATTTTTGGTGATATCGAGTTCCCCATCCTTTTGACCAGAGTTTGACCTCAAGGTCCCATAATATTGAAAAACAAAGGTTATTTTCGATGTTCTCGTGCATAATTGACTTTGAGACCCCTTTTCAGAGAAATCGGAACTCGTTGCTGAATAAATCGCCAACTTTACGAGCATGCCAGCTGACTAACCAGGCCGATCGGATGTTTGGAGGTCCTGGACACAAGTGGGGAAAGTCTGATATTCAAACATCGACACGTCTGAAGCTCTTCAGGTGGGATGTTGGGGGGAAACATTTTTGAGGGTTTGGGTATTTTGATTGCATGACAAGATGCTGTTGATGCCAGTCATTGAAGAGTGGAGCATGCCAGACATCTACACTTTTCGAGACCAAAGGAGTTCAAAGCCGGGGAGAAACCAGTTTGATGGCGAATTGCAAGAGTAGGATTAATAGTTTTTCAGTGCATTCTCTGTTCAGTATCTCTCGTCCCCAGCTCACCTTGTGAAACTAGGCCCCTGGGCCCTGTGGCAGAATATTGGTCCAGAGACCATAAATACTGATACTTATGTATTACCTGATGCTAAAACATTGCCTTTCACCCTTTACAAAATATTAGTTATTTATTTTGCAGTGGGTATGCAGGCAATTTTGATCCATTGTAATTTATCCAGTCAACATGTGGGTTTCATGATGCATGACAGGTCTATAAATGGACATTTTATTGTAAAACTGAAACAGAGGCTGATGCATGCTAAAATGTGTGACCTATTTGGATGAAATCAATTGTCCCATACTTGTGTTCCTCCTATTGCCTGCTTTAGTCTTCTCTGAAAGTTAGTTCTGTCTATTGGTTTAGTGTCATAAAAACTACATTCCAAAGATAAAGCCTATTCAAATAAAAAAGTATTGTTTTGTGAAATGTTAAGCATAATAGTAATGTTTCACATTGAAAAGTACTGAAGCAAGCATCAGATATGATGAAATAAGCTTATTTATAACCATTGGTAATTGGTGTGCTCTCAAGTGGAAAAGATTGCTGTAGACAATATAACTTCTGTAGAAAATATGCACCTAAATGCATCATAGTTTCACTGTGTCATGAAACATGTATACATGATTTAAGAGACATTGCTAAACTGGTGGTGCAAAGATCCCTAACACTCACTTGTAGTGCTTCAAACTCCCAGTGAGGTGTTTTTGGCATTTTTAAAGTTATTTGATTACAATTGTCATTTCAGTAATAACTAGTATCTATGTCTGACTTCTTGTATCATATCACACCAAACATTATTTGTGTTTGAAGCTGGCATAGGTTGCACAATATTGAAAGCCCATTGACATGTAACCTTGAATACTACATGGGCAATGAGGTGGTAGAATTAGAATGCCTTATCATTGTGTAATGCATGCCAGCATGACCTTGAAAAAGCTGCACAAAGTAATTGCAGATAATCTTTGCAGTGTGTGTCTCAGAAACTAGAGGGTATTAAATCTTAAAAGGGGCAGGGCTGTGAGCCTCTACAGGTGATCTCCAAGATGGCTATTTCAGTTTGAAACCCTACACAATGTGGAATGCTTTATTTAATGTGAATGGGGAAGGGATGGTCAGTGTCTAATCTGGTCTGCCCTATTCCAGTCACAAATGGATGGCACATGCCCACCTTTGAAAGCTGAGGATGAGGAAGGTCCCTGTCCATCTGGAGATGAATGCACTCAACCATTCTTCCCAGGTGGTGAGGATTTTTCTACTGTATGCTTGTGTATAAGCTTGCTTGTTCATGCATGTGTGTGCATGTGTGTAGGCATGTGGATGATAGTTATTGGGTTTTTAGGATGTGATGGTTATTTGAGCCTGTGGTAAGTATGTATACATACATACCACTACACAAAGTCTCTGTATCCCCCACGTTATGGCCATGCTCAACATTGACCCCATGGAGCAGTGTCTGCTTCCCAAGGTGTGCTAGCAATCTCAGCTCCCAGTTAGCATTTTCTTACTTCTTTGTTTATGAATGTCACACTGTTCTCCAATTTTACATGGCCCTTTCTGCTGTTAATTGCACTGCCCCATTTGAGTCAAGTAATTGTGAGAACTTTTTGTGAACCAATTGTGAGAACTCTGCTTTGGTTGCCAGGCCTGCTTTGGGTGGCTAACAATTGATTGGAAGAAGATGACCAAGCAGACAACTAATTTGATTCTAATTCACACGTTACAGATGGTACTCTGGACATCAAGCCGGACCCGTTGACCTTGTCACCTTCAGGTATGAGCATTCGGGTTTGGAATGCATACAGTGTTAGCTTAATCTTTTTAATGAGCATTTCTCACTGGTTTATCTTGAGTACTTGAGTTTAGGATGCACTAACAAATGAGATCATAAGGGCGGCAGAATGACCTCAGTTGTCGGCATGCCCCAAAACTCCAACCATCATCATCATCAGAATCATCACCTGTAATACATTTGGTTAGTGTGCATGCACAGCTCATATACTTTCTTTGTTCAGTTCAGACATACTTTAAAACGCTCCTATGTCCATCATGCTGTGGCACGGCTTTGTGCTTGCACAATACAGCAGAGCAGTCTGCTGCACCCCACGTGAATTCCGTAAAGGCGTTTGTGTTTTGGCATTCATGCAGCAGCGCTAATATGTCACTTCCTAAACTGATGCCAGCAGCTGGGCCGGAGTGGTGGGCCGATGTTGGGCTACTGTTCGCTGCAGTTCATTCGTAAACTCCGCGGAACTAATTGATGAGGTGTCATGAGTGAACACTTTCTGTTATATTAGGCTTGCTACTTTGACGACGAGACCAAGGTCTCCGAATTTGCTGCAAATCGTTATCATGGGGAACCACGATGGCATGGTTGTCGCGCGGAAACAGACGTTCATGGACCCTTCACACATTACCGAATGTTGTGAATGTACTTACGGTTTGAAGGCATTGCACCTGTCACAAAGTTTTGTCGAATATGGTCTTAATAACGCAGGAAAAACTCGTTGTGGAGTATTGTTTCAGCCTACATAGGTTAAGAAGCATGCAATGCCCGCGACTGTGATGCTGGACGGTAATGCTCTCACTGGCGTCCGTAGCGAGCCTGATGGTAGATGGTTGGCTTATCATACAGCGACCCAATCATGGAACGAGCTACGGGACGCCATGTTTAACGTCGTGGCAATGCATCGAGGGTCGAAGCTATCGTTGCAAGCAATCGCGCTACTTAATATATGTTATGAAACCCGTGAAACGACATCGAGGAGGCGTGCGATAGTACAAATAGCAGGCTACGGCGTGCGATTCAGAACGAATGAGTTCAGCTGCAGGGAAGCACCGCCAGCGAGAGCCGTCTGGCCTTCGTGCGCTTCCTGGTGCAACACGGCGAGAGGCTACCGCTGCCGCTGGCCGAGCGCGTGAGCGATGCGAGCGGCCCCCGCCCTTCGATTTGGTCCCTGTAATCGCATTGATTCTCAATTTATTTGTCCCCTCATTCTGATTTGTCCCATCAAAATTGAGGTGTGGCTACACACATGCGTATAGTACCATAAGCTTGCTCCCTGTGCTCCCATTGATTCTCAATTAATTTTTATCTGAATTCTACTTCGCCCCTCTATTCTCGAGGACGTGTCCACGCGCATGCCTGTAGACCTCAAAAACCGGCCCTCCAGCATGTAAAACACACGCACGTACGCGGACGACTGCGCTGCTATTGCAGGAGCAGCTCTGAGCGACTCTGATGGCTGCTCGGAGGCTCCAGCTGCAGACCACCCGGACCCGCCTGACGCCAGGGATGAGTGGCCGGCGCCCGTCGCCTCGCATGGTGAGTGGGCTTGTGTGTTGGGACCTGTTGTGGTTTCATCACCAGCCCCAACCGCTGCCCTTGCAGCAGGCCCGCTCGTGGGGTCTAGCGTCAACCGGGCAGTGATTTTGTGGTGATATGCGCCACAGCACCCCGAAAATGAGTTTGATGAGATTCTGTGATTGAACGCTTGACTTCTTTGGCACGGACACTGGTGGAATCCATGCATTATAGATGTGCTGGACCAGACAGCAACAATTTGGCCCGCGACGTAGGGCAAACGCCATTAGGACAAGCATGTGCAAAAGTAGCGGCGATTCCTTCATTATGCACGGAGGACTCAAATAATGCATCTCACGTTCACTTCCTTCACTTTTTCACGAGCATCTTGCTCGTGAAAAAGTAAGGCTCGAAATGACGCAGGGAGTCTGAACAATCGTTTACTTGCTTGATTCCACGTGCACCAGACATGAGTTGGCTCCGTCAGCAAACGTCGCGGGTCTCGTCTTCAGGCCTGGCTTGGTCCAGTTGGTGTCGGCGACATCTATATCACGTGACTCCCTGAGGGGCTCCCGACGCTCGACCACGCATGTTGAATGCATGCTCGTACCTCCAGTGTGGAGGTCATGTGAACATGCTGGAAATGTCAAGTTTATTAAAACCAAGTGATAATCGGCAATATTTAACTCGCAATATCTGTATCAGGTTATAAGCCACCTCACTGGGTTGATTGTTGATACCACCATCGCATAAGCTGGAATGTACGTACATAATTGGTTGCTGTTTTCCCGCGCCTGACCAGAGGGTACTTGTATTGGTATTTGTTGCCTTCACCCAGGAGTTTGGTCACCAGCTGTGCATACTACAGCAGCTTGGTTGCCACCTGTCCACACTACAGCAGCTTGGTCACTAACTGTCCATACTTACAGCAGTTTGGTCACCAGCTATGAATACTACAGCAGTTCGGTAACCAGCTGTCCATACTGTTGTTTTCCAGACGACGCTCCCGATGTCCAGCCCGATCCGTTGGCGTTGTCTGCCTTAGACGAGGATCTGCTCGCAGATACCAGTCCCCCGTCATTCAGTAAATCTGGTGAGAAGACCGTTGGGCTTATATCGGCGATTGTGATGTCCCATATAATCAAATTCTGAAAGTTTGTGCCGACTGAAACAATCAAATGTGTCAAAAATAGAAGTTGTTGTCGAACAATTTCTAAGAAAAACTGAGTACTAGCTGATAGAGCATGTCGCACCCTGCAATTTTCAGCCGTGACTCGTAACGGCGTCGGCCGTGACGACGTGGCGTCCGTTCGTTACGTATCATTGCGCCTGTTTTCTCACAAGGTATCGCCAAAGCGCAGCTGGACAACGAAGCTGAATGTAACGTATCACGCTTTGCCTCCGTCCCAGCCCATAACCGGGCGGCGCTGCTGACCACCAGCTGTCGTAGTGGCTGGATGGCGGACGGGTCTCGATGGCACATGGACATTGCTGTAACGTAAAATGGTGTGATAGAAAGCAGACTTTGATTTGTAATCGCTCATTGACAATGGGGGTGGTTTTGTTTGTGATAGTGGAGGTGCTTTCGTAGGTTGTATGCCGAGAATGGGTTTAAGGGCCTTTAAACTTTAATATGAACTTGTGGTTGATGCCTTTGCTATTTATGAGCAGACTGGAAATGTGCTTTCCGGGGCTTTGGTACCCTTTGCCATTTCGTACTCGTTGAGGATTAGTTTTGATCGGCGCGGATATGCTTCTGCCTGGCGTCTTTTATTTGATATTCTGTCTTCTGTGGTAGTTGTGGCAGCGCCACCACTTACCATCAAGCTCACTACGCGGCATTAACTTACGGTTTCTAGTGTCGCGCAAGCCTGGCGCCGTAAATATCATTCATATTAGGATACAAAATTGGTGATGTTTTTTTCACGCCGATTATTTGACTCTCGTGGCGAATTATGATTAGGAAGCACCACCGAACGCATTTATCAGAATAGTAATTGTTATAATAGGTCGCAATAATATAATAATATAATATAATAGTAGGTTACAATAGGTCCGGGCAACGATCCATGCTTCCGCCGTTACTACCTGCTGCGTGCCGGTTATTTGGGCGATCTTCCTTTTTTGAAGAGTGAGGAAGCGACGCATGTGCCGCGCGCCCTGTTATAAAGCACCAGAGACTGCGCGGGCCATGTTTAGCGCTCTGAGGCCACGGCGCGACCGGGTTTCGAACCTGGGCTTCCACACGGCTGCCGAAGGCGCTAACCACTAGCTCGCCATGTTTCCGTTTTGAACGAGTCGATGTGTTATTACCTTATGGTCACCATTTTTTTTTCACCAAAGCTGACGTGTTGACGTTATGATAATGCAAGTTTGGATTTTGCTTTGCTGTGTTTGCCTTGATGCTAATTGTTGTTTAGGCCCACCACCCAGGATTCATATGTGCTGTTTTGTTAGCGCCACCACCCAGGATTCAGATGTGCTGTTTTATGCGGTGTGAAACACCTCGTGTGAAGAGTGCTTTTAATTTTGCAGTGACAGATGGGCGTGATTGCTGCGGGACGTTTGCGGGCAACCACTGAGGAGTGGCGACAGGCATTTCTACTAAACGTAACTCATTGAAACATTGTTTGTAAAGGCAACGGCGTCTGTTATATCACAATTTCGCCGCACCTCTTTGGCGTTTCGAATTTCCACAATGTGACATGAAAGCTGTACACACACCCGCCATTTTTTGGCAAACGTTTCGAAAAAGCCGCAATCTGGCATGAAAGCTGAACACACACCGCGCCCAGTTTTTGGTAACGCATCGAAAGCCCGCAACCTGACGTGAAAGCCGGACGCACCGCACCAGTTTGCGCCAGGTTTTGGCAGCGCATGGAAAACCGCAATCTGACGTGAAAGTCGAACACAGATCATGTTGAGTCATCTGTATGTCCCCTCGGACTGTGTCGCTCAGCTGACAAGTTCCACGTGTGCTGGATGGTACCTGTGTCGGCACTGTATGGTAGTGCAGCAGGACATTCGCACCCTCCTATCAACCTGGTATGGGGTTTTCCATTTTACCAATGAATATTATGCCGTCGTGGACAACAACTGATTTTTATAGAAGATGATTGGTGGGGGGACTGAAGCCCTCCTCCTCATATACCAAGGGCTGAGGAGGGGGGAGGGCGGGGGGCGAGGGGGGGGGGCTATCACCAGGGCTGGTCCACTGCAGGTTTACGCCTCGGGTTACGACCTTGTTACAGCCCCCCAGTCACGCCGGGGCGCCCGAGCCCCGCTCAGCTGTGTCGGTCGGTTATGTTGGGAACCAGCCGCACCAACGGCTTGCCTTCGCCCGCCACGAACGCAGTGCGATGGCCGCGAGGGACTTCGGATATGACTCTCGGCCCCTGTCAGACGTCTCTCTTTCGTTGCTCGCGGACGTTGGTGATTATGTGAAATGGTGCCAAAGGATGCGAACCGGTCTCGCTGCACTGCGCATGTCTTGACATGCATTATTTCTCCATACCCAGGCTGCAAGCCAAGTCACTGGTGGCATTTCGCGCGGCGGAACGCCTCCAGTGAATAAGAGTAAGACTTGGAGGGAATGTCCAACGTTTGAAGATATTTAAGCAAGCATTAGATGTGATGAGATGAGCTCACTTTAACTGTTGGTATGCTTTGGAGGGAAAAGGCTACTCTATAGAACACAATTTCTCTGGTTTAGTTAATATGTCCCTTACACGTCATTGTTTGATTACGGCATCGTACCGTGTACAACATTGATTGAGAGCCAATTCACACCCGTCGCTCGGGAAAATGTGCTCACGAACGCCGTACATCAGTGGACTCGACAATAATATTTTTCGTGACCTTGATCGCCGCACGGCCAACGGAATGCAGGATTTGAATGACGTAATTATGGTGTCATGGATGTCTGGCTTACCATGAAATAGTCTCTCCGAAATAGTCTGCCCATCTTCGCGGGCGTCTAGACAGGGAAATATGCGGTTTTAGAGGTGACGAGAAGGGCAGGGCTGCGAACTGCACCGAATGATCGTTGAGATGGTTATTCCAGTTCAAAACACCATACAAAGGTGGGAACACTCCCTTTAAGACTTCATAATGAGAGGATATTAAGTGATACGACAGGGGGTAATTTTTTGCGAACATTCTTGGTAGATGTTGGGAAGCGCTAATAAACGTTCTTTTGCTGCATTTGTCCGCCCCGACATAATCTTAAGGTTTGATCCGAACCGTTTGGATGGATGGATTTCTGGGTTCGAAGCTCACACTAAGCGTGCTTGTTGTGTGCGCCCTGACCTTACCGTCGATCGCGGTTCCAGGTTAACGGCAAAAATTTTGGGGGGCGAAGCTCCCACATGCCCGCAAAGGCTTGGTACGGTCCGTCCGGCCATTGCGCTCATCACAGTGGGAGGCGCCTAAGCGTTTTCAGTTTCAGCCACTAAACATGAACTCGGATGATGTCCCGCGCCATGTTTTGTGAAAGCATATGCGGAGTGCTGGCGGATGTGCTTCATTGTCTATCATTGTCCGTTTGTTTCCACTTCAGCCAAGCTCCGGTTTTCGGTGGAGGAGGGCTTTCGCCGCGGGACCTGTGTGTATCAGGCAGAGGACGGCCACTCGTACCTCGTGAGGTTACAGGCCGAGGAACTCCGGCCGCCTCTATCTCAAGTAAGTACCGGCTTGTTTTACAAGTTTTTTTCCGCGGTAAAGTTTTTTTCCGCTTCGTAAAGAGATCACGTATGGTTGTTTTTTATGCGCGCGATGTCGTTCGCTTGGTGGTAACTGCGAGCGGGCTTGTAGGCAGCTTAGTTTGCCACGTGAAGCTTTCAAAGCTTAACCCAGAGCGCTACTCTCATGTCGGACGATTTTGATGCAGCAAACGCGAATGCGCTTCTAACGCGTAAATGTATGGTTAGCGATAACGTTCGTTTGCTCACATGGCGGTGGGTTATGGAATCTCGGAGCATTTCTTTCCATGTTAGCTCTTTAAAAACAAGTGACGAGTGATTACGAGCGGAGTAAGGTCGTCGAATGAACCATCCGAGGTTTGGCCGCCTTTTGCCGGATCCGGTTTCCCATTATGGACTTCGGCTTTGCTCGGACGTTTTTCGCGTCTTTCGCGGCCAAATGACTGACTCTCCAGCTTTGCATGGGCCATTCGACGAACTGGAGGTGGGCCAACTCTGGGAATACGCTTGTACAGCGTGGAGCATTTCACTGCTGATGCGGCTTGTGGCAACTGCCGTTGCGACGATCTAATCAGTCGGCGATATTGACCGCGCTTTAGAGTTTGGGGGCCGTCCCATAAATTACGACCCGCCTTTTGGCCATTTTAAAGCCCTCCCTGGTTATGCGCTGGTTACGGTGGGCAGCCCACTCCCCCTTGGTTACGCCAAAATTTTCCAAAAAACCAAAATTTTCTCTCGATCTGGGCATTGACATCGTGAAGATGGCAGCGGCCAGACAGCTCTGGCTCATCGTGGCGCAGCGGAGAGAAAACATCACACGCACTTTTCTGCCGGTGGTGGCGCTGCAGGCTCACGTTAAAACACACGCCTCGTGAACGACCCCCGCGTGGGCGGCGTAGCTCCGGACCAACCCCGGCCCGGGGCGTGCACGAGTGTGACGAGATGGGTCTGGCGGGGATTTGATAATCTTGGCCAGCAAAACGAACCGGCGGCCCTTTGCGGATGTCATCAGTGGGAAACGCGCGGTAATGACCTCCAATGGCTACCTCTCTTCGCACGCCCGCACTGTGCGTGGACCTCGCGCCTCTTGCCCGCCTACGTTATTGTGACAGGTCCGATCCCCATGCGATCTGCGTGTCCCACAGTTGACCGAGCCGATCACAGGTACAGATTGGTAGGAACGCGATTTGAATGCTGCAAGGTGCCCGCTTACAGATGTGCTCTTTAGCTGCGAGTATGGAGTGTGGGCAAGTAGCGTTTCATTTTAGTGTTGTGCCATGGCGCTGCGTTCTGGTTTCCGCAGGTGCTACTACAGCGTGGGACACAACGGCTTCCAGTGTCCGGCCACGGCGACGGTGATGGGGTCGTACCTGCTGCGACGGCGGATGCACTCTCACCCCGTGCTGCCGCTTGATCTACAGGTCAGCTTCAGCCCCCCCCCCCCCCCCCGTCTTGGACTGTTTAAAGTGACCGTTTTGGACGAAGCCACGAAGCCTTAACAGATCGGGTCGACGCGTGCGTTTAAAGTGACCGTTTTGGACGAAGCCACGAAGCCTTAACAGATCGGGTCGACGCGTGCGCGATCCGAGTAAGTGGATTTGCAATTGTTTCGCTGGGTGCAGTGGCCGGCTTTCGTGAGGTTATGTTTCTTTTAAACTCCGGCCATTCCTGTCCCACTCCCGCCCCACCCCACAGCAATTAAGAGAATGTGCAAATGGGTCAAACTAACGCTGAAATTGTTATTTTTACTTTCAATCCATTCACATTGCCTTAAGACCCCTAGACCCTGGACCACTTCCTGTAGTCACGACCGCATCTGGCCTAGAGATCAGGAATTCGGTGCGACGAAATCCCCTCATCCTACATGCTCAGTTTTCGACACAGCTTTTTTCTTTTGTTGTATCAAGCATTGTATCGCAAGCAATCTTTGTCGTTGTTTTTTTCCCAACCGACCCCTCCGCGCAGGAGAAGTGATGTCTGAGAACGCGACGGGTTGACTTCGGCCCACGCTGGACACGCGCCTCCGTCACCTCCGCCAGGTAGCGCCGCAACGCGGTCGCGATGCGGCAGATCCTGCGGGCCAACCCGACGCGCCGAACCACAACATATTCCAAGCGATAGCGCGGGGTGCCGCGGGCGAGGCGCACCCGTGGTCGGCGGCCCGCCAGATGCTGGCGCGCGTGCGCAGGGAGCGGGTCGCGCCCCCGCCCGAGACGCCCGCGCAGGCTGTGGACGCTCTCCAGGCGACCGATGCCAGCACGCGGCGGCACGTCGCCTTCTACGCCCATGTCGGCGGCGAGGAGGTGCGTTTTGATGTTTTGTGTTGTTTTTCGTGGGACTTTTATGCCTCACGGTGAGAAGGATTGGGAGTTAGCTGTTCGGCCCGCGGCTTGTTGGGCGGAAGGCACTTATGTTGACAGATCGTCAAAGGTAAACATTGTTCGTTTCGTGGGAAAATGTGGACAGATCGTCAAAGGTAAACATTGTCCGTTTCATGGGAAAATGGGGACAGATTGTCAAAGATAAACAATGTCCGTTTCGTGGGAAAATGTGAACAGATCGTCAATGGTAAACATTGTCCGTTTCGTGGGAAAATGTGGGCAGATCGTCAAAGATAAACATTATCCGTTTCGTGGGAAAATGTGGACAAATCGTCAAAGGTAAGCATCGCGTCCGTTTCGTGGGAAAGTCCGTGGTTTAAACAAAGTGAAGGCAAAATGGGCATGTTTAACTCTACACGACAAAGTCAGGATATCAAGCCCTTTAACATGCGTTTGAAAGGAATGGAGCTTTGGAATGCCATCTGGTAACGGTGTGCGTTCGAAGGTGCGCTGACTACCCTGGTCATACGGCGTCCATCCGTCTTCTTGAAATGTCAAGTCGACAGCTGTTTCAGATGTTAATTTGAAATTTTGTTCACCCGTTCACAACATCTTGCTCTGTTGCCTGTGTTTGGTTTCGTAAGACTGCTTGCAGGTTTATGATTGTTAAATGCCCTTAACCGAGCAAGGTTATCTTTAAAAAGCCACACCTCAGAAACCTTAGCGATATTGGTTTTAAGCTGTGCGTGTGTGCTTACGGCACGTTTCTTCCCACGGCCTCCTCAAGCCGAAATGATATTGGTTAGTTTGAAATAATGTGAATACTACTTTGCAATGATGGCATTTACAGCTGACGTCATTCTGACGTCATTTGCGTGTGCTTTGTCAGTGCCATGACCGCAATTCGAGGCTGTCATCGCGTGCGCAAACAATGTAAAGAAAGACAGCAGAGTCCCGCACCGTAACGCCTGGGTGCTGATACTTAGTGGCGTAAGTTTTCCGGTTGGTTGGGTCAAGAGGAATGTAATTATATTTTCGGACACTTGTCACGAAAATGGAATTGCTCTTACTGTAAACGACGCACATGCGCGAAACACGATGTTCCAGAGCTAAGTATGGGAAGTTTTATATTAGGCCGTAGATTACCTACAGATTAAGGTTCGTGCTATTTGCGGTCTGCGATGTGCATTTTCTGCTGAGTTCCCGGTCGATTTACCCCGAAAGGTGCCACAGGAACGCGTGCAGCGCCCAGCTGAGATGCACGTCCTTGAGCTGCATCCAACGCTCATCCTCAGCGTTACACGAATGCTGCTAATCTCATCTACCACTGAACGCTGGCGGAGGTGGACCGGTGAACTAGGAACCAATGAACCACTGAACCAATGAATTACTGAACCACGAAACCAATGAAACATTGGACCACTGAACCAATGAACCATAGGGCCACTGAACCAGTGAACCGCTGAGCGCCACGTCTGCCGCAGGCGGCCATCGGCCTGGAGGCGCAGGCGGTGGTCAAGATGGCGCAGTGGCAGGGCGCGCGGCACGGCCGTCGAGATACAGGTCGACACGTCGCTGGGCGCCGTGCCGCGGCCGTTCGTCCAGCTGCTGCTGGTGTTCCTGGCCTCCCGAGCGGGCCTCCCCGCCTACTGGGTGCTCATGTCGCACCGGTCGCGGCACCTGTACGGCGCCGTGCTGGGCGCCATCGGCCGCCGGCTGCGCCTGGCGCCGGCCACCTTTCTCGCCGGCTGGGAGGACGGGCTGCAGGCGGCGGCGCAGACCATCTGGCCCCAGGCGCGCGTCAGCGGCGGCTGGTTTCACTACGCCAAGGCTGTGCTGGATCAGGTGTGTAGGCACGGCGTTGTCCTGCTGGTGGAGGATCGATGTGGGAGTGAAGCAAACGCGCGATGCGAAGGCGCTGTTTTATTTAGTTGTGTGGCGTCTTGTGATTGGCACTGGGACTGTATCGTTGCAATGTGTCGTTATCGTTATCGTATCGCTGGCGCTGTATCGTTAAAAACGGGAATGGCACATGCTGGGTTTAAGGGGAAATTTTGTGGGGGTCCCGCGCATTTTTCGTCGCAGTACGAAGGTTTATTGTTGAGTGCCGCACTGCGGAAGCATTGATCGTCACACATTGTGACATCACAATGTGAAAACGTCATTCAGTGTTGCTGACTATTTCCATGAGATGGTTGTGTTCAGTTTGTTCGGGAATTTCGCTGCATTCTTGTCGTGCTCTGTGTGTGTTATCTAAGTATCGAATGCACTCTAGGAGGCGACGAAGATACCCAACCATCCCAGACGTGAAGCCCACTCGATGTGCGGTGTAATTTTCTATTATCAGGGACAAGCGATTTCGGACTGCAACTGCGGGATTACCCAGCCGCCTAAAGACCAAATTGCGTCACCATTGCGTTCTCGGGGCGCCGACCGCATGCACATTGTAGCTCGTTTTCTCGACCGTATTGCCATCCGGCCGCAGGACAAACGCAGCACGATGGCGCTTAGTGGCATTGCTCTCCATTCTCACAGATCCGACGGGTGGGTCTCGTGGCCGAGTACAAGCAGCCAGCTACCGACTTCGGGAAGTGGGCGAGGGAGCTGCTGACGGTGCCGCTCGTGCCTGCCGACCGCCTGGAGGACGTGTGGGCCCTGCTGCTGGACCGGGAGGCGCCAGAGGTCGGTGGATGCCCACCCCGTGCGAGCTCACGAGAATGATGGTTTAATAGCGGTGTATGCTAGACTTGTTCGACAGTTGTCTGTTGACGTAGAGTATATTTGAGTATGCGGAGAATGTTTGAAGCATTGATCTTCTCGGTGCGGAGAAATGAATTCGCCAGTCATGAAAATATTTGAGGATAAAAAGTGAGGTATTCGTGGCTTATGGAAAAACAGGTTTTAACGTTTATTTGCATAATTTACGTTGATACATTTATCCTCATAAGTGTAGTGGTTGCCGCAGGCGCGCTAAGCACTACACTACCGGCACCCATCCTCATCTTTTTTAGTGACGACGTAGCATGGAACACAATTATCATTGGTGGAGAGCCTCCACGGAGTATAGCTTGACCCCCTGCTCGCGACCCCAGTCACCGGTGACGGGAGCGCCGCCGCCCCCGCCCGGCCCCTCGGGCCCGCTGAGAGCGGCGCCGGTGGGGCGTCCTCCGGGCGCCCGTCCTGTCCGGCCCCTCGGGCCCGCTGGGAGAGCGCGCCGGCCGGTGGTGGCAGTCCTCCGGGCACCCGTCCTGTCCGGCCCCTCGGGCCCGACTGCAGGAGCGGCGCCGGTGGTGGCAGTCCTCCGCACCCGTCCTGTCCGGCCCCCGGGCCCGCTGAGAGAGCGGCGCCGGTGGCGGCAGTCCTCCGGGCGCCCGTCCTGTCCGGCCCCTCGGGCCCGCTGAGAGAGCGGCGCCGGTGGCAGTCCTCCGGGCCCCGTCCTGTCCGGCCCCTCGGGCCCGCTGAGAGAGCGGCGCCGGTGGTGGCAGTCTCCGGGCGCCCGTCCTGTCCGGCCCCTCGGGCCCGCCTGCGGAGCGGCGCCGGTGGTGGCGGTCCTCCGGGCACCGTCCTGTCCGGCCCCTCGGGCCCGCTGAGAGAGCGGGCGGTGCGGCAGTCCTCGGGCTCCCGTCCTGTCCGGCCCCTCGGGCCCGCTGCAGAGAGCGGCGCCGGTGGTGGCGGTCTCCGGGCACCCGTCCTGTCCGGCCCCTCGGCCCGCTGAGAGAGCGGCGCCGGTGGTGGCAGTCCTCCGGCGCCCGTGCTGTCCGGCCTCGGGCCCGCTGCAAGAGCGGCGCCGGTGGTGGCAGTCCTCCGGGCGCCCGTGCTGTCCGGCCCCTCGGGCCCGCTGAGAGAGCGGGCGCCGGTGGGGCAGTCCTCCGGGCGCCCCGTCCTGTCCGGCCGCCGGCCGTCCGGTTACAAATGGCGTCTACGAGCAAAACGTCTAATTTTGCGGCATCGGAAAGGGTAAAAAAGCTCCCAGCGACCACCAATCAACCGACGGTCCAAATTTGTGCGTCAAGCAGTCGCGCGCGCATCTGTGCGCGTTTTCCCAGTCAGCTGTAGCGAGCACGTTTGTCGTCAGACGGCGCCGAGCTGAGGCCCCAGGTGGACCTGCTGAGGCGCAACATGCAGGAGTGGCGGCGGCAGACTGGAGGCTGAGCGGCTCTGTGTCCACGGCCAGCCCCGCCGCGTTAGCGACTACGCCAAGGACGTTGTGGCGGCATTGGCGAGCAAATTTTCGTCGGCGCATCCCAATTCTGGCTCTTCGTGGAGAAAACCAACTTGTAAGGCCAGCGTCGTGTGTGTGTGCGCGTGCGCGTGCGCGTTTGCGTGTGTGTGTGTGTGTGTGTGTGTGTGTGTGGTGTGTGTGTGTGTGTGGGTGTGTGGTGTGGTGTGTGTGTGTGTGTGTTGTGTGTGTGTTGTGTGGTGGTTGTGGTGTGTGTGTGTGTGTGGTGTGTGTGTGCGGGGGTGCGGTTGTGCGGTGGTGGCGTGTCGTGTGGTGTGCGTGTGTGCGTGGCGTGTGCGTGTGCGTTTGTGCGTGTGGTGTGGTGTGTGTGTGCGTGGTGCGTGCGCGTCGTGCGCGTGGCGTGCGCGTGCGCGTCGCGTGCGTTGCGCGTGCGCGTGCGCGTGCGTGCGCGTGCGCGTGCGCGTGCGCGTGCGTGTGCGTGTGTGTGTGTGTGGTGCTTTATATCGCGCGCACGAGTACCGACTGCAGACAGCGAGACGCCGGCTGCTGCGTTTCAACAACGCTTTTACCGCTGCGTTGTCCTCAGGCCATCAACGACGCAAACAGACATGGCGAGGCTGCACAGCTGCGGCAGCTGACGGAGGTCAGGAGTCTGCGCGACAACCGACAGCAACTCCAGGCCAAGCTGGCCTCGCTGATCAAGGGTCTGGAAGAAGGACTTCCACTGGAAAAGTACATCGGGGCCGTGATACACCTCTTCCGGCGCCGGATCGCCGCCCTCGAGACGGAGGAGCCAGACGGGTGAACAAAAAAGGAAATCGCTACGAGCTCGTGACCGGCGGAGCACACGTCCGCCAGCGAGGGAGAGAGCACGGGCGACCGAGCCGGCCGCCGTGCGTCGGTGGCGGCAGCGGCGCAGGCTCCGCTGGCTGTCCGACCAGGGTCACGGCTGACCGGCCGGCGGAGCGCGTCCGCCCTGTACGCGCTCATTGTCAGAGGCCGGCGCCGGTGACCGGTGCCCGCCGCGGCTGCGGTCCGGTGAGGGCGTCGTGCGGGACGCTTCAGATGACAGGGTCTGCTCGCTGGACCGAGTGGTCAGGTGCTGAGCTAGAGACGCTCTTTCCACCCGGCGGGTGTCGCCAGCGTTCTAAACTGTGTGACAGATCACGTAAGTTGTTAAGTACGTTTGCGAAGGACATTATTCACGTATGTAAGACGGTAGTGTAATAGCCTTATTCCTCGGAGAAACACCAGGAGAATGGAGATATAGATGGGCTGATATTTGGGCAACATGCCTTATCGAAACAGTAGCAATAGCAACTTCTGTTATCGTTTCGATAGAGGCGCGTTGCTGAAGTATCGACCCACTTTTTCCATTCTCCCGGTTCTTTTCTGAGGAATAAAGCTATTACTACTGTTTATCTGTGTGTGTGAAAGATAGGGTCATTCTCGATGTGCTAACTGTTACGGAAGCTTTAATAGCGTTTAAAGAAGCGATGTGTCAAGGGCACTTGGGCAGGTGGGACCTCCTGTCGTGTGAAGGCGACTCGTGCCTGCAATACAGGCAGCAACAGCGCAGCTTCGTCTTGCAAAGATTCGAGACACCACGGTGGTCCGAGTCCGTGTCAATGCCGGTATCAGAGCGCGAAGTGAAGCGTGTCTTATACATCCCTTCAAGACTCTGTGTACCCGTCCTTAAAAGGACCGAGTAGCTACAGCTTTCTGGTAGACAACGAAAAAGCGCGCCATTTTGCTTGACCGATTCGTTTCACGCGTTCAAGACTGACCAGCATAAGCTGTTGTGAGACCGTATTTCAGACCAGATTTTATGCGGTGTAGTTGTGAAGGTTCATTGGACTTCTGACTCGTGCGCAGTATGTTGACCTTCCGAGCTCTTGGTCCCGATCATCGATATGTCCGCTCTTCACATGTGCACTGTCCGTGTGAAACCATGCAAAGATGAACAACGCCCTTTGCGAACGCACACTGAAGGCGCCGTTTGCGCACCAACTTCATTTGCACCGCGGCACAGACGTGAGCTCATAATCCGAGCAATAAGGCGGTGTTCTGGCCACTGACAAGGTCAAACAACGGAGGTCGGCGTGCCCCCCCCCCCCCCCCTTCAGCCTACTGTGAAAGTGATTCGCCGACTGTGTCGGTGGGAATGGAAAATACCGACACCGCACAGTTGACGCCGATCACGCGCGGCGCGGGCACGGCACGGGTGGTGTCGTTTGCTACCGGCATCACCGGCCCTCCTCCGCACTAAAAAGCAGGTACAATATGCATCGAAACATATGCACAGGAAACATGCATGCTGCATCTGATAATGCACGGACACAGACAAACTCCGTGCTGTATCTATGACACACGAAGCATACACCTCGTACTTAGGACACATATATGGACACAGCACGCTCCCGCCGTTCTGGTCAACACCATCCACGACGACAGTCCCAGTCTGACCTGTACCAAACCGCGGTAGTGGTGCGAAACAAACGAAAATCAACTACCTCGGATCAAACGTCAAAACTTCTTTGCACGGATCGTAACTGGCGTGCGGCGTCGGCAGGGTCCGGCGTTTCATTGGTTTGGGCCCAGGGGTGGCAGCTGGTGCGCGAGAGGAACCTCCTTAAAACCATAAAGTCCTTCGCGACTAGCTCTGCCCGTTGTCGATTCACACCGCCTGTGTGTCCCTTGATCCGCGGTGTTCGCCGGGCCACCCGCTCCAGAGCTCCGGAGAGAAAACAGTAACAAGACCATCTCAGGTCATGTCTATATATATATATATATATATATATATATATATATATATATATATATACATATATGAATATGGATTCTTCCGTGCATTTATGATAGATTGATCGCGAAAAAGTTAATTTGCCTGTTTAAACAATGGAAGGATCACAGCATGTTTGGGAACACAAACATCGCAGCATGCCGCATTATATTAACGTCTTTGAGACGAGGATTTTTTGAAAAAGACAATGCCAATAAACACGTGTGACGTTGGCGTTTATGTATACATGACAACATTAACGCGCGGTATTTACCTTGTGCATAACAGTTTAAACGCCATAACTCACGAGAAAACGCAATTCAACTGACTGTATTCGATATTTGAGTAAGAACTTGAATTGGCCATCATACGTACGTAATCGGATATCGATTTTTTTTTGCAAGCGACCACGTTTCAGCCATTGGCAGGCCTTAACTGAACAGGCCTCAGCAGGTCTCTCCGTGTGACAGGGATGTCAGGGAAAATCACGCACAACAGGTCCCTTCAGATATGATCGATG